TATATATATATGTATGTATATATATATATATATATATATATATATATATATATATATATATATATATATATATATATTTATATACCAGTGAAAGTTCTTCATTGAAAAGGCAAAATTTTAAACCTCAGAGACAAAAGAAAAAATTATTATATTTAAAAAAAACTTTTTTTTGATATACATATGGACTTGCCACTAAAGAGGAGCTCATTTTGACTTGTTGTTGAACACAATTGTGCAAAATATTTGCACCCAATTACAGTGGATATTTATTTTATATAGAAATAGTTGTTGCAAACTTTCTTTTTCTCTGATGATTTCTGTTGTAAAATATCTGACAAGAGTGATTAATCACCTCTTGAAAGTTTTTAACGATTAACAAAATTAGCTCAAATTTTCAGTCAGTGGACACAAACAAATTAACTTATTGTATTAAATATAATCGCCCTGGGTGGTTTTTATAAAAAAAAAAATAAAAAAAAAATGCTGATGTTTTTTTAATTTATCAGAATTTATTTGGTGAACAGTAACTAAAGCAGTCAAATACAGCAGCAAGTCGAACTTGCAATATTTTCCATGGGATGTTGTGGAATAAAAGTAGAAAATGTCAAATAAATGTAATAAAAAGTTACATTCCACAGCTGGATCTGTTTTGTAACTTCCTTCCTGTGTCTTTCAGGCAACGGCATCACATTAGAGGGAGCCGTTCCAACGGAACAAGACAGTCAACCCAAACCGGCCAAAAGAGCACGGACGTCTTTCACTGCAGAGCAGCTACAGGTGAGCCACATCAGTCTCACTCCGAGCTTTACGGCTAGCATGGTACTGTTCAGCTCCTTACATTGAATTTTGCAGTGTTACATATAGAGACAAATTCTGAAATAAGCTGCTACAAGTTTAATAACAATGTGTTGTTTGAATGATCAGATTATGCAGGCGCAGTTTGCTCAAGACAATAATCCAGATGCCCAAACGCTACAGAAGCTAGCCGACATGACGGGCCTCAGCAGGAGAGTTATACAGGTCCGTACGGTCAGATCTCTAATCTGGGAATTACAAACGGCTCATATAGAAATAACTAAACCTACTCTTCTGAAATCTGATCAACTCCTATATGACGGAGTCACTAAAGATAATTTGTCCTCTTTTTAAATGATTTTTACATGTCAGATGAATAGCTACATGATGTCTGCATCTTCATAGGTGTGGTTTCAAAACTGCAGAGCAAGACATAAAAAGCACACGCCCCAACACAGCGGGGCTCCCCAGGGTCATCCTCAGTCCAGGATACCCTCCTCCCTGCCCGAGGAGCTGCATTACTCCCCCTTTGGCAGTCCGGAGCGAGCGCGGATGGTGGCTCTTCACGGCTACATCGACAGTAAGTCTGGATTTACGCGTTCGCTGAGAAAATTAAATCTGCTCAATTATGATTTTCACGATTTTTTTTTTTTGTATTCAGGTCATCCCTTCTCCGTCCTGACTTCTCAGAGTCTCCCTCACCAGGCCATGTCGCTGCCCCAACTCCCCCTCAGCCGCTAGCGCCCCACCAGGACCCCCTGAGCCGTGGATCTGTGACTCTGATCTGCAATCAGCGACGCCTGCTAACCTCATTCAAAGATTGTACCACGTGGAGAAAAGGCTCACCTGCCAGGACTCCTGCAAACAGAACGAATGGAAAGAAGTGGGAAAAAAAACTATGTTCTCTTCTCTCCGAGGAATATCCCGCCTGCAGCCCGTCTATCAAAAAATAAATAAATAATAAAGACAAAACCCCACAACCTTCCAGCATTTATGATGAACAGGAACTCTCTGTTTCACACCATGTAATGGACATCGAAGCTGAGGAGGAGTGGAGTTTGAAATGGATGTAACTGTTAAAGGAAGCAGGACTGAAGCTTTTTAAGGGCTGTCAGAGTATTCAAGACATTTAAAGGAACTGTCACTGTGGGACAGAGCGCACTCAGAAACCACATCAGAGGTAAGACTCCGCCCCCTTTTATCTGTAAGCGACCATGAAGGAAAACTAAATGCAAACAAAAAGCTGTTTACCTTTAGAATATGAAAAAAACAAGTTCCTTGTTTCATTTTCTGATAAAATTTCGGTGTACAATTAGATTTTTGTTCACGATTTCCAACATTGTGTGCCTTATCTTATTTATTAATAAACAATTAAAAACAATTCTGTCCATTCTTAAATAACAATTTGGACTTTATTAAAATTTCCGTAACAATTTTGTGAAAATTTCAAACCATGTCCACAAATTCAGCTCAAGCAGTCAGACTATTTTTTTCCTTTTCAGTCTTAAAGAAATTTAAGATGTGACTTGTGTGTTATGGAATTATTTTGACATTTGAGGCAATCCTGCTACTCTTTTAATAAAAAAAGTGAGATCCGTGTGTTGTTAAAAGGCACATTCCTTTAATTTATAAGGTTGCCTGTTCAGCTTCATACAAGAAGGGAAACTGAGTTTTGGTACAATTTAGACCCAATAAAACTGACTGGGTTTGTATATAGTAAAAAGGGTGTGTGTGTGAGTGTGTTTCTAAGTGTGTATTGGCAGGGGTAGAATGTGTGTGTTTGTATTTTAGTGCCATTGCCTCTGTGTGAAAACCACATCCAATTCCACCTCAAAGTCCTTGTATTTATTGACATGATAAATCCCTGTAAAGCACTTTTCCCCCGTTTCTGAATTGGTTTTTGTCAAAAAAAAAAAAAGAAGAAATGAAACCAAAAGGTTTATTTGATAGACTGTGGATCATCAATGTTTTGTGTAATAAAATGCATAAAATAGAGTGGGATTTGTGTGTGTGTGTGTTTTTTTAAGAAGATTTCGAGTCAGGCAAACACAAGTTTGCTTTTATCAAACTAAATTAGTGGCAAAAAGGACAGAAAAGTGGGTAAAACGTGAGGTTCATGTGGAAACACTCAAAATAAATCCATTAATATGAATTAATGCGGCATTACATCTGTAGCTGTGTTTTTGTAGCTTTGCCTCACGTACTTTAGCTCATTTAGTAGCTGCATGCTGTTGGGTCTGCATTTTTCTGCAAAAGTGTGTCAACACAAAACAAGAAAAGATGCATCATGGGAAAGTTTTGCACAAACCTGCTTCCTTTTGCTTAAAAAAAGCTTCTGACCCACAAATTAACGATGTCAAAGGCTTGTGACCCCAAATGCTTGAGTCATTGTAAAAGAGGAAATAATTCAGGGCATGATGACAACATTAACAGCTTAAACTCATATCATTTTATATATTTTATAACAATTATCGCAAAAAAAAAAAAATAGAACAGTTTTTAACTTTTATTTGACTCTCACGACCCTAAACTTGGTGTTTTGTGAAGCTGACCCCTGAAACCACTGGGATGACATTTTACAGTTTTACACAGAAATATATTTTTATATAATGAGGCTTGAAATTTGGATCAGGCTCCAATAGCTTTATAAGAATGAAGCTTTTAATCTGATGACTTTTCACAATATTTAAGAGTCCATTTATATTTTTGTGTGACAAGAGTTAAAGGAGCAAAGTTTAGGAACTAAATGTTGGACTTAGCTGCAAACTGCATCTCTGACAAGAATTGTTGCAACTTGAAATAATAAAGATTCAGTATTTGTTTGTTTTTTGACAACTTTAATCAAACTGAAATAAAAATTACAGTTAGGAACTTCACAGTTTTAATTAAAAAAAAAGTAAAAACAAGTAATTTCCACTTCCAATAAGAAACAAAGAAAAAGAAAAGGCATTTTACTCAAGATAATTTAGACATTTTAACAGAGTTAAAACACAGTTCTGTGTGTTGCCTTCAGATCTGGTTGCAGGATTAACACCAACAACTTATCCTTTCCTGCAGGTCGTCACAATCCACTCATGCTCAGAGTTATCTGTTAAAAAAAAACATTTACAGTGAAATGGATCAGGGTTAGAGATGCTTGAAAAAGCTGCAGATTCAGCTGTGAAACGTTGAACAGAAGGAGGTTGTGTTCATTTTGTTAAAACGCTTAAATAAAAGCAGCAGCATAATTAAACTGCAGGTTAGCGTGCGCGTGCGTTTGTGTGTGAGGCTGCACTGAAGTGCCATTTAAGTCTTGGGATAAAATTGTCAAAGCAAGATAAGCCTGACAATTAGTGGCAAATAACTTCTCAGAGCCACTTCAGACAACAAATAATAACCCTCCGACTAAAAATGGACGCCAATCTTTTCTTCTTTCTTTTCTTTAAGCGAAACAACCGCCAGAGGAGCTGGTAATAAACCAGTTTTTCCTTGTTAGAAACTGAAATGAGTAGCTAATTGCAGGGGAAGTGAGCGTTCACTGGAGCGCGCGCAGCTGCACGCACTTGAGGCGCTCGCGGGCCTCACCCCAGCCTCACCCCCGGGCTCCACGGAGCGCGCGGGGCCCCCATTGTAGCGGCGGAGCGGCTCTCCCACTGATTGTGCGTAATTGCCAGCGCTGGTCGTGAACGCACCAGCCACTTCAAGTACATAACACCCCCTGTTTTTTTTTTTTCTCTCCCTAACTCTCTCTCTCTCTCTACCTGCACGGATAGGGGGTCAGTTGAACGCGCTAGCCGCCACGCGACAGCTGTCATTTCCACGGGGCTTTGTGGCGCAGCTGAAAATGGGACAGGTAATTATCGGAGGCACGAGACTGACCTGAATTAACCGCAGCCCACGACTTAATGATGATTAGATTGAGACATTTTCATATCTGCTGCAGTCCTGCCCTCTTCACATTGTGCAGCAGCGTTTATGAAGTCACGTGTAAGTGGCACCTTTTGGTTTAACTGAAGGCACATGTGGCTGCAGGGCTCAGGCTGCATCATTAACATTTTTATTTTATTTTATTTTAAAGTCAGAACTGCATAATGACTCCTGACTGATCTGCTCCTACAAAATAAATGCATGATCTGTGGAAGCCTCTGTCGGGAGGAAGTTCCCTGCAGCCTATTACACGCGTGCGCACAAAACACAGTTTATTTAGCCATTTGCAAACATCATAACTCTGGTTTCATGCAGTAGCTGTCAAGGGTATGTGCTCTGAATGACTCTCAGCTACTACCACATCAATTTTTAGCACGTCTGTAATACTGTCTAAGTTATAGCCATATTTGTTTTGAATACTGTTTGTTAGCTGTGGTGGCTCACTTTAATTGAACTGACTCCAAAAGTCAGTCAGCACAAGTTTCATTAAAATCAATCCAATGGTTCGTGAGATGGCAGCACGGTGGCGCAACTGGTAGAGCTGCTGCCTCTCAGCGAACAGGTCCCCGGTTCAAACCCCGGTCCAGGGGCCTTCTGGGTGGAGTTTGCATGTTCTCTCCGTGCATGCGTGGGTTTTCTCCGGGTACTCCGGTTTCCTCCCACAGACCAAAAACATGCATGTTAGGCTGATTGGTAACTCTAAATTGTCCCTAGGTGTGAGTGAGAGAGTGAATGGTTGTTTGTCTCGTTTGTCTCTATGTGGCCCTGTGATGGACTTGCGACCCGTCCAGGGTGTACCCCGCCCCTCGCACAGTGATTGCTGGACATGGGCACCGGCGACCCCCGTGACCCAAAATGGAATAAACGGGTAAAGAAAATGGATGGATGGATGGTTCGTGAGATATTTTGCTAACAGACAAAGTGGGCTGACTCCAGTGGCAGATGCTGGTTTTAAGCAAAGATGTTGCACAGTGAGTACTTAAAATATGTGTTGGGAATGACTCTCAGCTACAGCAAGACCAGACTTTTGCACGGTATCTGAGAAACTGATTGAGTTGTAGCCGTTTTTGTGCTTTCTAAACTCTATTAGCTGTGGTGACCATCTTGAATCTGGTTGGCTCCAAATCTAGTGATTATCTGCTCAAAATTTCATTGCAATCCACCCTGTGGTTCATGAGATATTTTGCTAACAGACAGCATTGTTAGAGAAGCTGCAGCTCTCCTGTTCAGTTATTTAGCCGCTGTGGGGAAATCATACCAAACAGGAACAAAAAGCCAAAACACACATTAAAGCATGTTTCCAACTTTCTGTCATCACGTCAGCATGTGGTTTTCTCTATCTGATGCAGATCTTTGAAATTAATATTTCTTTTTTCGCTAAAGATCACAGGATTAGGAAATTATTCACGCTTTGTGATTAAAAAAAATTAATTTGTGAGAAAAGGGATATTTAACGAAAGAATTCTTGTTCCACTCCCCAGAGCCCGGGCTGATGTTATCTGTCTGTGAAACACCTCGAGTCGATGGGGACAAAGGAAGCGGGCCGGTCTCTGGTCACCAGCCGTGTTTACCTTGGCAGCGGGACGTTTGCAGCGTGGAGCTCAGAGTTTCTGAGCAGTCGCTCCAGAAACGGGGAAGTGCAACAACTAACATGAAGCGGCTCAATGGTGTTTGTCTTTAAATAACCGAGTGTGTTCAGTCTCTCCCTGGTGCTTCTTTTTTAAAATTACAAGTCACCTCAGAGCTTAAGCGACAATTTTAATCAGCAACGACAAATTAAAAGTTAATGGTATAGCTTAATCATTTCATCATGGTGGGATTAAGCTTGGCTGAGATGTAAAAGGAAAGACAAATACACGTTTACCTTTTTTTTTTTAGCAATAGATGAAAGGTGAAGGTGTAAATCTGCTGAATAATTCCTTCGGCCAGATTATTCTGCTAGTTAAGACTGAATCACAAAACACGAGTTTATTATTATTATTTCCTTTTTGCTGTTTCCTTCCTCAGTGAACTCGCATGAAGACTTGGCAGTTGTTATTATGCCAAATACCCTTCCTGACGCAACCACAGACCACTGAGCTACCACAGCCTGGAGCGGAGGGCTGCCATATTGTGCCAGGAGGATTAGATGGGAGGGGTTTGGGGCCTTGCTCAAGGGCACAGAGTGGGGAAAATGAGGGTGAAGGCAGTTGTGGTTGCTCCACCGTTCCCACCCGCATTTTGATGTTACGGTCAGATTCAAACTAGCAACCTTCTGATCACATGCTTGCTTCTATAACCTCTGCACCACCACTTCTTTAAATCTCTAGTTAGAAGCTAAATTCATTCATCGCTCTCCAACTTTTGTGCATTTCAGCGTTGCATCGTGACATGTCAAATCTGAAAGTGATTTCACGGCCTATTATAATTACTGTTGTTAGAATATTTTTTCAAAGACAATTTAATTAGATTTTAATGCTCATGATGCTCATGAGACTATCCATATCGCTGATCTTATGCTGCTGATTTATTTCACGCTGCTGTGTTCATTCGTACTCATCTGCTCACACAGACTCATGTTCAGGCTGCTGCTGTTCGGTGTATTGTTTTTGTACTACTAGTGCTTAGCGTATTCTTGGTTCATATATTAGATCTTATTACTGTTTTTCTTTACAACTTATACTTTTGTGGGGTGTAACTGGTACCGTGTACACAATTTCGTTCCACCACATGTGGTGCGAATGACAAATAAAGAAACTTTGACTTTGAGATGTTCCACAACTGATGTTAGATTTTTTTATTTTTTTATTTCAGTGTCGTCCAAAGATTTTGGTCTTATTTTACAGTTTACCCTTTAATTAGCTTGTTTTATTCCTTATTTCTGTCGTTTTTTTAAAGAACTTGTTCCCTTATGAGTTCTGTTTAGTATTGCATCACCTGTATTGGGTTTGTCATATTCTTTAACCACCAGGTTTAACTTTTTTTTTTACTCAGCATTGCCTAATTATTTATTTTCTTGTTTGTCCAGCATGCTCCCTGCTTGAAATGGTTTGTGTTTTCTGGATTGTCTGCCTCTTCATGTTCTCTGATTAGCAACAAGAAGGTTTTCTGAGCTTCAATTGATCTACTTTTACAGGATAAGTGCCCTGTTTTCAGACACACTCATTACACTAAAGCCATTTGTTTGTTTTGAACTTTTTTTTGTTCTGATCGTGTTCCCAACATTAAGTTCATTTTCTGAGCTGTTTAACCTTTTAACCCCCAACAACCAAAACTTTTAACAACATTTGATTCTGTGCACTTGTTCCTACACAGCAACACAGACTCTTTTCAAAGATCTCTGCTGAGAATATGCATGTTTTACTGTATTATTTACCTTTATGATTTTGCAGAGTAAACGGTTTTATACTGTACATTTAAACATACAATCAGCAAAATCTGTAATTCTGATACTGTTTTAATTACTCGTTTGTGACATTACAGTATTTTTCTATGAATTTTACAATTTCTTAAGATTTTCACAGTAAAATTCTGTGTTTTCCATGTATCATAACTGTTTAAATAACGTAAAATTTCTGTTTCTTGTTTTACAGTAGTTCAATGCATTTACTACGGTGATATACTGTTTTGAATTTAACAGTCTGTGTTGCAATTTGACAGTGTTTTACTATCATTTTTAACAGATTTTTTTCAACAGCATAGAGGAGTTTATGTCCACTTTAACATCTTTCCATTTCAGATTTGAACAAGCAGTTTTAATCTTGACAGCCGCAGGTGTTGATGACAAGAAATTGCTTTGATTCCTAAAATAACTCACAAGGAAATATTAGCAGCACTCCTATTGTTTGCTGCTTTGCACCGTTTCAGGATCTTGTTAACATTTGTAAACAAGGAGTGCAGATATGGCCAGTAAAATAAATTTAGCCTCTTATTGTTCATTTAATGTGAAGAAATCTATTTTCTTTTAACAATTAAAACCATTCCATGTGCATCATATTTGCACATTTTGTAAATCAGAGTCTGCACTGGTTCAGTTTTCTAGTTTTGCACAGCCACAGAGGGATCCCCTTCCTCTTTCTTGCTGCAGAGAGCGTCCCCACTGGGAGGGCTGGTCTTCCCTGTGTCCCATCATCATAGTCCGCATCCTGGGAGGAAGCAACCAGGCAATAAATTCAGACTTCACACCCACTCTGACAAATATATCCTCACCTCCCAGGGTTGAAAAATAAATCCGTACAGGATACAGGAGCATTCCTCTCAAGATGTGTATGTCAAAACAAAAGGGAGAACACACACAGAGGCGTAAGCGGGTTTGTGATATGCAGCTCTGACCACATACGGAGTGCATCCCTTCCACACCACAGAAAACAAGGAAAACTTTCAGTTCCTGCTTTAGTCTTACACTCTTAATTTAAAGCAAATTATCTATGGAGCTCCTCTTTGCACATTAGAACAAACTAGAACAACAAATCTAGTTTGTTCTAACACTCTTAACTGTTTTACTGTCATTTTAAAGTGATCATCATCATCATCACCTTTATTTAGCCAGATAAAAACTCATTGAGATCAAGATCTTTTTTTCCGAGGGTGACCTGGCCAAGAGGTCAGGAGCACACGTCATGAAAGAATAATCAAAACAACGCTACACGATAAGACAGTATTACACCCACTTAAATGGTTTTGATTTCAAAGTGAAAGGCACTGCATGATAATGACCTTAGCAGTGACTAAAACGCAATGGTTAAGAAAGTGCAAGCAATAATTAAAAGCACAGACGACAAGGAAAAACGTAGGCAACGGTTCAAATACATCGTTCAAATGTCTAACATTGTTTTTTAGGATTGAACTGAAGGCTCTAAAAGAGATGTATTGGCAGTTTCTGATCAGTCTGATCCACGCCGAGGGAGCAGCAAAGCTGAACGCTCTTCATCCTAATTCAGTTTGGACACGAGGAACCGACAGAAAACAACATTATAAGAGCGTATGGCATAGCGGTTGTTAGTCATTAGTTCGTTGAAAAAAGTTGCCTAAATAAGATGGGATTAAAGTGCAGAAGTATTTTGTAGATTGCAGTTATTCAGTGTATGCAGTAAGAGAAGACTAGCCAGATTTAGAGTATAGGTCAAGTAAAGGCATGAAAGTAGCAGCTACCAAGGCGTTCCTTACTCTGAGTGAAAAACAGGATTTATTTCTAAAATAAAAACCATCTTCAGCTAAAGTTTTGTATCCAGAGTAACTTTAAATGGTAGCTCACTATCAAGAAAAAAATCCCAATTTGTAATTTGAGACCAGCGCTAAATGTGTTACAATTGGTGAAATGCTAGAAAATACCACAAGCTATGGTTTTATCAGCATTTAAAACCGGTTTAGCAGACAAGACTGAATAATATTAAGTGTCTTGTAAAAAAAACGGAACAGCTTAAATAAGTGAGGACGAGCAGCAATAAATAATGGTGTCGTATGCATAAACAAGATATGAAGCATTTGACAGATTGTTCCATAGATCATTCATATTCAATTCAATTCAATTCAATTCAAAAATACTTTATTAATCCCAATAGGAAATTAAATGTTGTTGTAACTCATCATCCTGGTTTCATTTGAGTTGTTTTAGATGCTGATGGCTGTGGGCAGGAAGGATCTCCTTAATCGGTTTGTTTTACAATGATATAAACATCCGACATAAATTAAAAATAAAATTGGACCCAAAACCGAACCTTGAGGCACTCCCTTGAAAGTATCCAAGAAGGAGGAGGTGGATCCTGCCACCTGAACAGTACGGAGGACGAAATGTGTCAAAATGAAATAAATTAAAACCCAATAATGAAATTAATCATTTAATTAATAAATACATCATTAAATAATTAAATAAACAATTACATTATTACATACATCAATAAATATACAATTAAATTATTAAATGCACAATTTATTTATTTTATGATATAATTACTTATTTCATGATTTATTCAATAATTTAATTTTGTCACATTCCACCCTCGTGTGTCACCATGAAATGATGTTAACTGTCAGCCTCACTCATCAAATGTGGGCGGGACTAACGCTGAGCATGTGAAATCCTAAATTGTTAGATAAGCCATAAGTGTTTCATGAGCATTATCCCAAGTTCATATAATATTTCTTACCTTGCACACAGACCGGGGTTTGCGATCCACACTGCTGCATCGGGCCGTAGGTCCGACTCTGTGGAGCTTCAGAGAACGTCTTCGTTTAAATTTGCTGCTTCTCGTAAAAGTGCATCTTCTTTTTTACATTGAAGGTATGAAAGGTATGAAGGTATTTCTTTTGTTGTCTGTATGTTAATTGTTTTGTGTTTTTTTATTATTATAAAATGAATAAAATAATAAATAAAAAAAACAAAAAAAAAAAAACAATGTTTCATCCAAATACACGTAAACACAATTACAGCTGTCTAAAGTTTTGGAATATATTTTCTGGCCTGTGGATCAATCGAGGGCAGCACGGTGGCACAACTGGTAGAGCTGCTGCCTCTCAGCGAGCAGGTCCCTGGTTCAAATCCCGGTCCGGGGGCTTTGCTGGGTGGAGTTTGCATGTTCTCTCGGTGCATGCGTGGGTTTTCTCCGGGTACTCCGGTTTCCTCCCACAGACCAAAAACATGCATGTTAGACTGATTGGTAACTCTAAATTGTCCCTAGGTGTGAGTGAGAGAGTGAATGGTTGTTTGTCTCTATGTGTCCCTGTGATGGACTTGCGACCCGTCCAGGGTGTACCCCACCCCTCGTACAGTGATTGCTGGACATGGGCACCGGCGACCCCCGTGAACCAAAATGGAATAAGCGGGTAAAGATAATGGATGGATGGATCAATCGATTTGTCTTCGCTTGCTGTGAGGAGCAGCCAATCAGGCGTCAGGGTTAGGGTTAGTCCCGCCCACTGAGTTTGATGAGTGAGGCTGACAGTTAACATAATTTCGTGCAAACCCCCCCCCCCCCCCCTTTAACAGAGTTGCATCAAAGAAAGGATTAAACATAATTTTGTGTTCTTTCACATGTGGATAACATCTGGACAGAATCTGGATTATTTTTTCTCCTTCTTTTATTCCCTCTATCCCTACATGTGTGTAAATTAGATTTGTATGCTTGCACAAATCAATTTTACACTGTAAACAGCTCAACTAAACACAAGCATCAGCAGAACAAACAATATATATATATATATATATATATATATATATATATATATTCTGCATTTGAGTCCATAGTCATTAATAATCTTCTTCCAGGAGTTAAATCTTGACACCAATGTATATTTTTAAATCAGAAATCAGCACAATGATTAAGAAAACAGTAAAAGCCTCATGAAAGATTTCTGCAGGTAAATGCATGTTTTCAAGCACATCAGGTTGCGTTTTTCACTCAGATTTGAAGAAATGAGAGGATTATCACTCTCCGATGACGCCCAATGTCCTTTAGGGGCAAGACTCACCTTCTACTCATGTAACTCGATGACAAAGTGAGCTTGGCATCAGAGAACCACTTTCCAGACACCTGACAGATTGCATTGTTTTAAAAGACTGGAGATCGATTTAGAGCTAAAATGTGTTTTCAATTTTCCACTTTAAAACAAGGAAAAACAAAAGTGAACTAAAATGCATACCTGTCAGGCAACATTAGAAATGAAACTCCAATCAGATAACACAGGGATCCATTTGACATTACTCCACTGGTTCAATTTGATCAGAACATTCTGGATGCTTTCAACGTTCTATTGAAAATGGGCACAGTTAAAAAAAAAGAAAGGCTGCTTGAACCACATTCAGTACAAAATGTTTCATAAAATCTAAATGTACAGTTGCTTAAAAAAAGTTTTATTTGAACACTAATTCTTTTTTTTTGTGGTCATTTATTTAATGCCTGTTTTTTCAGTGTACAGCCCAGTTGTCATTTCTAATTCAAACCAGTGCCTCTGACTGATTCTCTCACTCCCAGTTTCCATCAGGATAGATGTCCACCAGAACCCATCAGCTGTCTGGCTCCACATCAGTCATCTCCCATTCCTCTACAGTGGCTAAACTGACTCATGTATGCCCAACAATCATAATATTACATTGAAGTGTACTAGCTTTTTAACATATATCATCCTTTTTGTGCATAACGTTCACAAATACACAGCTCTATCACCAAAAGGTGCTTCACTGGACTGTGTGCATGATTTAAAATGGAAATCTTCATTTGCTCCTAACTTTCATGTTTCTAATTTAGCTTGGCACGACAGGGCTGAAGGTTACGAAAACTCAGAGCCAGTTTGACGTCAAGTTAGTGGAAGAGAAACGCATGACCTAAAAAGGTGCAAGCTACTTCTATAAGTGGGCTCTGTGTTGATACCTGCTTTTATTGATCTGAGGACGCAGTTTGCAGAAAGTGTGATCATAATATTCTCCTATACTGTAGTGAGTTGTTTCGTATATGGAGCAACAGAAGAGATTAAACCATGTATCTTTGACTCACCTGCACGCCTGAGGTACGTCCCAGAGTAAGAAGTGATGACTCTGGTCTTGGGGTCATAAAAACCATCTGCACAATCATAACACCCAACAGGAATGGCTGGTGGTGGATGTATGTTAGACAACTGAGATTCTCCTGCATGAATAGAAAGATTGTTTAAAATATTTATGCTGTGATTTTCATGATGTTACCACACCAAAATTAATTTGGTGCAATTTCAGCTAAATTTAATGGCTTCCCCCTAATTTTGTGTGAGGTACTGACATAGACCTAAATAGTAATAGCTATAATTGTCAATGTAAAACATCAGATACAGGATTGTATTATCAAAGATGATAAAAAAATATTCTCATATAAATCTAGATACTCATAATAAAAACCAGAATCATGAGTAAGAAGAACCTAAAGTTTGGATAAAACCTTCTAATATCTTAAAATGGGGAGTTTCATTTTTAGAACTGCGTCTACAAGATTTAATCCTCGTGGTTTAGAAATACAGTGTTAAAACCAGACGCCATGGTAAATCGGCTCTTTGCACTTTTTAAAGAATGTTGTTGGCCTCAAAAAATTAAATCAAGTCCTTTTATTCATATAATTTGTTTGTGTTCAATTTCAGATGTCAATATTTAATTCAGTTCAATTCAGTGTATTTATATAGCGCCCAATCACAACAGAAGTTGTCTCAGGGCACTGAACAGAAACATTCATATACATACAACAGCCAATTAGTAAAAGTTGTCTATTTAAGGGAGGAAGCTGTTAAATCTTCACTTCGTTACAGTCTCCCATCCTGAGCAAGCACAAAAGGCAACAGTGGAAAGAAAAAACTCCCTTTTAACAGGAAGAACCCTCCAGCAGAACCAGGCCAGCTGCTTCAACCAGCTGATGTTGTCTTTGCTCTGGTTCCAATCCAGCATGAGACTTGACAGATTTACACGTTACAAGTGTCACAACATTTTTTGTTAAGTGCAGCATGGTTTGCTTCTTGTATAGCTAAAAGATGAATGTGCTTCTATTACAGCTGGATAAATAAAATAAAAAATAAAAAAAACCTCATAGACAAAAAATCGAATCCAACCTGCTGGTCTGAATCCGTTGCACCTTTCGCTGTAGAAACGCCGGTCATTAACAGTGCAGTAATCCCAGTTGTTCTCCTCGTACTTAAGACCATCAGCAAAGGTAAGTGAGCCCTTGTAATAAAGAACAATAAAAATATAATCAGTTCAGTACATTGTTTTTTTGTGCTAAGGGTTTGAGATGAGCATTTTCATAGAAAATCAACTTAACATTGAAAACAAGCAGAAAAAAAAAGGCTTGTGTAACTCTAAAGACAACTCAGACAATAACGTGCACCGTTTTTGCATAAAGTTCCTCTTTGATAGGAATGAGTTGCAGCACATTCTGTTGTATGTAAGGTCTGGGGGGGTTATCCTGCATGCCTCAGACATGGTTTCTGGAAGATAAGTTGCTGCTGAGGTTTTCAAATGTCAGGTTCCAATGCTTAAAACGCCACCAAAGAATGTATATTTCCCTCTATTGTCTTTAGCTCAAGACAACAAAGTTCATGCTCAAGACATAACTTCTTTCAGAGATGGATATCTCTAAACCTCAGCTGCAGAGCATGACTTTACATAAAGTAATGCAGAGCGGGGGGAAGTATTTTTGTACTTTGAATGAGATGATAAATAGTTTGTCTATACTTGGAAAAAGAACTGTTTTCAGAATCAGTCAAGTTTCTGTCACATAAAGCAGATTACATATAAATAACAGAATATAAACAATTTGAATTGAACAAAGTTATTAGTTTTAATACTTTTTAGTGTGCTAGATTAGTCATGCAAAGACTTCTGAAATTGTATTTTGACCCTTCGACAATGAAGAAGCAAAAGTATGGCCGCTAAGAGAAATAATTACAGCGCTTCACTTGTGCCTCTTCTGTCAGTGAGGGAGAAGGTCACTCAGAAACCTTTTGAACCTCCAGACACTTGGCTAAAGTTCACCTCACAAAGTTTCAAAATATAAAAGAGGCAAAACGTTTTATCTGTCATGACCAAAAATGTACAAATGAAATGTCAAGGAGTCAATTCCAGGGATGAGACGGTTCCAAGCAAAGCTAAGATTTTCAGGCCTTGCCTTTTTGAACAAACCTCATTAGTAAAGCATAACAAGACCACAAGGATCGTCGTAACTGGAAATCTGAATCACTTAGAGCAAAAATGGCGTCAAAATGCAACGACATTTCCGTTGCCCCCCAAAGAGGACATCTCTTAAAACCTCTTAGTATATCAGATTTTTCCATAACATTACACAGTTTGTACTTGACTGACATTATGTTTTATATAACAATATTGCATTATTACGTGGTATTGACTAAAATATAAAGATCTCAGAAAGAATGTCAAAATGTATCAAATATCAGAAGTTTTGTCATAAACAAACAACATAAACATAAACATAAACATACATACCGGTACTCTTTGAAATATATGAAAATTGCCATACAGTATATAGCTGCGGTATTTCAAAAAGTTGATTAAAAAATATGTAAAAACAACCAAAAATAGGCTGATACACTGATTTCTTAAGGACTTTCAGAGCTAAAATGTATGGGTTTGGTGGTCAGATATGGTCGGTATAATATATATTTATATTTAGATATATAGATCTATATATATAATGCAGGTGCTGGGTAGTGTGTGCCAAGGTTTGTCACAGTGCAAGGCTGCTATCATTTCAAATGAAGCATAGTTGTAATGGTGATTAAAAGTGGAGCGATCATATCAGCGCAGGAGAGAACAAAGCTGCAACTAGAACAAAAATGGGAGAGATAATTATCCCAACAATAATGGTGAGTGATCGGCTTGCTAAAAGGGAACAGATGTAATATTAAGTATAACCAATGTGAAACACTCAGTCATGCTTACAGTCTAATGTGCATGAGTGATAACGCACACACATAAATGCGCTCAGAGACAAAGAGAGAGAGATAACTCCTCACCTGTTTAGCTATGCCGTTTTCCCACGTGGCTTCATACTTGCTTCCACTTACAAAGATCATCTCTCCTTTGCCATGAAACATCCCATCTTTCATTTCTCCAACATACTTAGTGGCATTGGCGAAGGTGTACTCTCCTTCTCCATGCATCCTAAGGTGGCAAAAAAAAGGGATGGCACATGCAGCTTTGTCTACTTTCCCCCCTTTTGGATTGTTAACTACCTTCAACTAGAAAGTTCCTGTAGAAACTTTGATGGGCACCACCACGTGACAGCCATTTAAAAATTTTGAGTTGACAGTAGGCTATGTGTTGGGGTTCGCTCTAAACTCCCATCGTACCAGATTTTAACTCAACTCGGCAAAAAAAATCAATGAGTTCAAGCAATTTTTTTCTTTTAAGCTATGGCGGCCATCTTGGATTTAAAAAAATAAAAATCCAACTTTATTTATACAGCCTCATTGAGCCACGGGGACTTATTTACAAGAGGGACCCGCTCCAGACAGAACATATAAAGTACAGACAAAAAAAAACAGTAGACAATGATTACAATAAATTACAGTAGTTAAAACAAAAGTAGTGTACAAAACAATAAATCAGGGTGCCGTAAAACAGGGTGAAATACTAAAAAACAAGAACATATTTGCTTTGATTGTTCTATTGACCTTATCAAATGTTTGAAACCCCTTAAAGAAATCAAGGTGGACAACTTCAGGTCCTGTTGCAAGGTATTCCAAGTTACAAGTGCTGAGCAGGAAAAGGCCTTTTTGCCAAGTTCGGTCCGTACTGAGGGAACGCTGCAGGCAATGATGGCCTGAGAGCACACGTTGTAACTGCACTGACGGCATGACATGTGGGAGGAGATATAAGAAGGTAGCAGACCAAGGAGGGATTATAGATGAAAATTAACCAGTATGTGTAGATAATGATGACCAACTGACCAAGGAGTACAGGGTGCAGTGATGGGTACGGTAGTTACAACCAGTTATAAATTTGAGCGCACCATGATAGACAGCATCCAACATCTGGTCAATGGGCGGTAGGAAGGTAGCGGTTACAAGACGTTTTCTGACACAGAGTTAATTAAGATCTATTTCTGAAAAAGAAACTCAATTTTAATTTCAGTTTCTTTATCAAGTTTTCAATATGTAGTTTTGGATTCACTGTGTGACGGAGAATGTTCTCAGCTATAAACACAAATTCCATCTCTGTAGATGTAAAAATAGCTGAGTTAAAGTCATTTAAATGTAGCTTTGGAGGCCATCTTGGATTTTTTTTATTGGAATTCATTATTTACTGGGCATTGCTCTCAGCTACCACCACAGTAAATTTCTGCTTAATCTCTAAAAATGGCTGATTTATAGTATTTTTCCCTTTTAGCTCAGGTGGCCATCTTAGATTTTTGATTTTTAATCAGTTCAATTCAGTTTACTTAGATAATGCCAAGTCGCAACACATCTCAGGGCACTGATCAGAAACATTCATATGTAAAAGTTAAGTTAACACTATCTGAGGAGCAGACTGTTTTGAACTGAACTCCATCACAGAACTCTCATCTTGAGCAAGCACAAAGGCAACAGTGGAAAGAAAAACTCCTTCATGAGGAAGAAACCTTCAGCAGAACCAGGCTCAGGACAAGTGGCCATCTGCCTCTGGCAATCAGTGTTTTAGGGATTGTTCTCAGCTACCAATACACCAAATTTCAGCTGAATAGCTCAAACAGCAGCTGAGTTACAACCATTTGAAATTAGCTTAGGTGGCCATCGTGAATTTTTAGATTTTAATTCAGAATGTGTTGTGCATCGCTGTCAGGTACCAACACACCAAACTTCAACTCAGTTTATTTTAAAATAGCTGAGTAATTGTATTTTTCCCTTTTAGCTAAAACGGCCTTCTTGGATATTTGATTTGCATTAGGAATAAATAACAATTCACTCTCAGCTCAGACCATATCAAATTTCAGCTCAATATGTCAAAGAGTGACTAAGTTATAGTCAATTTAGTGTTTTTTGAGGTAGCTGTGGCAGCCATCTTGAATCAAAGTGGCATTTGTTTACAAATTACATCGCCATGATAACGCGAAATGGCAATTATTAATTTGGTTGAGCAAAATGTTATTTTTACACATTTTTTTTCTAAGTGTTTACCTGCCATCTTTCATACCTCCTTTGTAACTGCTTCCAGTGAACTCCATTTGTACAAAATGTCTAAATTCTTTCTTATTTTCCAAAGAAATCTGCAAACAAACCAAAGACGGTGCAAAACAATGAGCTTCCGCGTAGCTATTACCATGACAACCTAACAGATGTCGGTGAAAAATGAAAGCAGTAAAAATTAAATTAAAGTGAGATACTGTATCTAATATACCTTTAATTTTAAATCCAATAGTAATTTTTGATTAAACAAATGGAAAAATATTTTTTCCAACTTTTATTTTTTCAAAACGCGCCTGTAAACGTCATCAGAACGCGCCTCCCAATTGACAGCAATAAGGCAAAGGAAACTGACCTTCTCTGCGGCCTCGTCGCTCGTCCCAGAGCCAGACGAGGGGGACCTTGAATATTTTTCGGCTGCGTTACTTGATTTTATTCCTGCTTGTTTTAGTCTACAAGCACATAGCCATGCCAAACACGCTGGTCCTTCCCTCTATGGAGGAGCTGAAGGTGAAAGAGGTGAGTGATCGTCATTGTTTAGTAGAGCGACGCAAGCAAGCAAGCTAACCGCTTAGCTGCTAACGCTGCTACATGCATTCATTCAACCTTAAAGTTAAGTATTATTTCAGTATTTTGTAGATAATTGAAACACTTCCGTGTAATTGCACGCGAATATAATAACTATATTGGTGATGTTTTTAACCACGTTCAAGTTTGTCCTGCAGCAATGTTTGTACAGCTCGTTGTATTCCATATTCCAGTTAAGTAGGACGGTAAAACACTTTGTTTATAGCAGTTTTTCAGACATTAACAAGCTGGTTTATATTCTGAGCTGGTCATTAGTTGGTCCGAAGAACTTGTCCTTGGAGGTCAGGTGATCTAGCAGTCTGCCTGAATTGCTGTTTTGTTATGGAATTTCAATACTGCTTTGATGGAGTCACATGTTCCACTGTTTTTTTAAATTATTATTATTTGCTATATGTTTTTAATTCATAATGTAACATTTTAAATAACTTGTGAAATGTTTTTCTTTTCTTTTTTAGCTAAATATGTGGTAACACAAAGTGCAAAAACGTCCATTTAGACAATTTTTTAAACCCCCTCCCTGAGATACTTAAATATAGGAACCATTTTAGAAATTATCGACTGCACAGATGAGCGATTTGGATATATATATATTTTTCTTTTCTTTTATACAGTATAAACTTTCATAAATGTAAATTAGATCTGTCTTGAATATGCAATTTTATTTGAAAATTTCATAATTCAAATAGCGACAAGAATTACTATTATTTTAGCATAAGCTTGCTAAAAAATTTAAAAACAATAATGAAATTGTCCATGGCATATACAAACCGGATTCCAAAAAAGTTGGGACACTAAACAAATTGTGAATAAAAACTGAATGCAATGATGTGGAGGTGCCAACATCTAATATTTTATTCATAATAGAACACAAATCACAGATCAAAAGTTTAAACTGAGTAAGGGAAAAATCTGTTGTTTCCAAATTTCATGGTGTCAACAAATCCCAAAAAAGTTGGACAAGTCCATTTTTACCACTGTGTGGCATCCCCCCTTCTTCTTACAACACTCAACAGACGTCTGGGGACAGAGGAGACCAGTTTCTCAAGTTTAGAAATAGGAATGCTCTCCCATTCATGTCTAATACAGGCCTCTAACTGTTCAATCGTCTTGGGCCTTCTTTGTCGCACCTTCCTCTTTATGATGCGCCAAATGTTCTCTATAGGTGAAAGATCTGGACTGCAGGCTGGCCATTTCAGTACCTGGATCCTTCTCCTACGTAGCCATGATGTTGTGATTGCTGCAGAATGTGGTCTGGCATTATCGTGTTGAAAAATGCAGGGTCTTCCCTGAAAGAGATGACGTCTAGATGGGAGCATATGTTGTTCTAGAACCTGAGCATAGTTCTCTGCATTAATGGTGCCTTTCCAGACATGCAAGCTGCCCATGCCACAAGCGCTCATGCAACCCCATACCATCAGTGATGCAGGCTTCTGAACGGAGCGTTGATAGCAACTTGGGCTTTCCTTGTCCTCTCTGTTCTGGATGACATGGCGTCCCAGTGTTCCATAAAGAACTTCAAATCGTGACTCATCTGACCACAGAACAGTCTTCCATTTAGCCACACTCTATTTTAAATTACCCCTGGCCCAGTGCAAACTTCTGAGCTTGTGGAGCTTGCTTAGAAATGGCTTCCTCGTTGCACTGTAGAGTTTCAGCTGGCAACGGCGGATGGCACGGTGGATTGTGTTCACTGACAATGCTTTCTGGAAGTATTACTGAGCCCATTCTGTTATTTCCTTGACAGTGGCATTCCTGTTTGAGGTGCAGTGACGTTTAAGGGCCCGGAGATCACGAGCATCCAGTAGAGTTTTACGGCCTTGACCCTTACGCACAGTGATTGTTCCAGATTCTCTGAATCTTTTGATGATGTTATGCACGGTTGATGATGATAACTTAAAAGTCTTTGCTATTTTACGCTGGGTAACACCATTCTGGTATTGCTGCACTATTTTTCTGCGCAACAATGGTGGAAATGGTGATCCTCCTACCATCTTGGCTTCTGAGAGACACTGACACTCTGAGAAGCTCTTTTTATACCCAATCATGTTGTCAATGACCTAATTAGTGTTAATTGGTCTTCCAGCTGTTAGTTATATGTTCAATTTCCTTTTTCCAGCCACTTATTGCTACTTGTCCCAACTTTTTTGGGATTTGTTGACACTGTGAAATTTTGAATCAACATATTTTTCCTTTAAAATGTTACATTTACTCAGATTAAACTTTTGATCTGTCATTTATGTTATATTACGAATAAAATATTGACATTTGTCATCTCCACATCATTGCATTCAGTTTTTATTCACAATTTGTTTAGTGTCCCAACTTTTTCGGAATCCGGTTTGTACTATAGCCGTATAATACAGTGGTGCACCTGTGTGGCATTACTAAACAAATGAGAACACTTTAATTCAATTAACTTTATTTACTGTTGTTGTTACAATCCACTGTTGTCATCACTCTTTGTTCAAATCAGGTCTGTTTTGTAATGAGTCTCCGAGGCTCAATGGGATTAACCTGTATAAATATAGGTTGCATGAATTTAGCGACAGAAACAAAGTAGAAATATTACTTTTTTTACTTGAACTTACTATTTTCTAAGCATTTGAATGAAAATATTGATTACGATTTAGCATCTATGGTCATAATTACCCCAAGCAATCTCAGTTAAATAATTTTTGGTGTATTGAGACAACTGTAGACATCAAACGTTGCCACTCGCTTGGAGCTGCCTTTCCATAGTTTGTACATTGCAAAATATAGCTGATCCAAGATGGGAGGGTCTTGCTTCTGCTTATGTCTGGTTCCTCAAACTCACTTGACTTTTTTTTTTTATATATTTGCATGCAATCATCTCGATGACAGCGCACTCATTTAAGTTTTCAAATTTGTTTGTGCATAAATTCTACAGTTGAAGGAGTTAATACTGTACACAAGGGGAGGAATTGTTCTTTCTCAATGAGCCAGAGGTTTTGTTCAAGTTATTCAGAATTTAGCAAAATATTTCACTCTAAAAACTGTTCAAAAGTGGTAAATTTAGTTGAAAATTCAATATATGATAACCTTCTTGAAATAATTTCCTATAGCAAGGACAATTATAACAAAGGATCCAAAACATACCTTGACACCTACACCTCTAAAGGGTATCCAAACCACTCGGAACGAACTAAGGACAATATTAACTTAAAATATTTGTTTATAAGAGAGACAAAGTGTAAGAATCACATTTTTAACTTGGATGGCACAGATAGTTCTTGCTTTATTCATTGACCTTAAAATTTGTGGTATTGTCACCCAAGCTTTAAAACATAAAGCAACAACTTAAAAACAAATTAAATCCCTAAGTGTTCATAAAAATGTTTTTCAAATTTTTTCTCCAGCAACATTAAAACTACCATTTGACAGTGATTTTTTTTCCCCAGCCAATGAGCTAAATATAAACAAACATGTCAACGCCTAATTTCAGAAGAGATAATTTGATGCTGGCAGCTGTTGGTGACATGCTGTTTTTAAAATAATACACTAATAACTTGTACGGTAAGTTTTTAAGTCTTTTCACGTTTGTGTGCCTTCTGTTTTCCAGGTAAAATTGTCATCTGCTCTACTGAAAGCTTCTGCTCACCATTATGGTTTCCAGTGTGACAAACCCAACAAGGAGTTCATGCTCTGTCGCTGGGAGGAGAAGGACCCGAGGAAGTGTTTACAAGAAGGGAAGATGGTCAATGAGTGTGCACTGAACTTCTTTAGGTAACTTTATTTTGCTTTTTGTATTTTTTGATGCCAAATAATCCTGTTTAAACCGAACTGGGTCTGTAAGTCATTACATATTTTTTTGTTTGTATTTGACTAGTTCAAGTGAAAATAGACTTTTATCGTAGGAAAGAGTGTAAGAACAGACTGACGTGTTTCAGATGTTTATGGTGCATGTTTTTGTCGTTGAATGTGAAATAGTGAAACTGTTTTCTCATTGGCTGCTTGGAGATTATTTATCTTTTTACTTTGTCTTGAAGGAATATTCGTCAGAAATGTTAGTCCTCAGTTGATTTGGCAGATTAATTATATTTTCAGATCTGAAAGTTTGCACGCTGTTGTCATCTGTAAAACCAAACGTGCTTCTTATGTTCAGAGTAAGATTGAAGATGTGGCCCAACTCTGAAGCCAGCAGATTACAGACTTAGAGTTTGTGTGAAACTCAGGTCAGAGGAGGTTTGTGGTCAAGAGCTTTTGTTTATTACTCAATGATGGACATGTGGGAAGAAAATGTGGTCTGATGTTGCAAATGCTGCTGCTTGATAGTTGTTCTTCCAGAGCTTGGAGCTGTTAAGTGTACTCCGAAGGTTTCAGACGTCTCATGTTTTTCAATCACGATTTCCAGTTCCTAGTGGGATGTAGAGGCTCGTTCAAATAATGGTGAAAACTTTCTGGCCAAGTAGAATGATGTGTAACCTAATACTTGTGCTGCAAAAGCAAAAAAAGAAAAAGCAGGTGGTGTTTTATTCGCACTTTAGGCTGATGGTAAGATGGTAAATTTAAAAAAGACTACAGATTAAGATTGTTTTGATTCACCAGTTCAGACGGAAAGTGGATGTTTGGTGGGAAATGTTCAACCCTGTTCAGCAATGTTCAGGTCATCTGGATGGTTTCTTTTTCTTTTTTTTTTTTTGGCTGAGATGTTTCGTCCTTCATCCAAAGAACTTCCTCAATCCGAGAAGCCACCAAACAAAACTGATTTCCACTAACAGCATACTCCATAGTGGGGGAAAAAAAGTTTGCTGGTGCTAAGATGGACTCCGGGGCCTGCCCTCTCTCTTGTCAACTCCTCTGAGACAGTCATGCCAAAGTGGTTCAAAACACCAAAGTTCATGCTCAGTACCTTCAAAGTTCATGCCTTTCAGCATGAACTTTGGTGTTTTG